AAAACAAATTTTAATGTTTGTTTACTTGCTTTCACTTTCTTTCTTCTTTTTCTACGTTAGTTTAATATGTTTCTATTCAAAGGAACAATAATTTTGCACGTTATTACCCGTCATGAGAACTTTTTCACTATATTTACTCTCTAACATTCGCTTTTGTATGACTTTCTGTAATAAGCAATTGTGTGATGAAAAGAAAAGAGAACATTTTAACATATATGTACATTATAAATCAATCTAATAAAGATATTGTACAAATTTTCCCATTTCGTGTACAAAGAAACCATTTGTAATTACCTATTGAATTTTTGATTAGAAAAATTTGATGTAAATTAATTAATAATTTTGAATGAGAAACTTTGCAACTATTAGAGATAAAATGTGTACCTATTTTACAATAGTAGTCCATTAATTTCAACCGTTTCACAATTACCCTGTAATTTTCGAGAGGTTCCCATTGATATGTAATTTCAACAATGAAGTACACAAATACTGAACTTTCTGAAAGTTTATTACATCACGTTGACTTTCAAACACATACTTTTTCTTAATTTTTCGTGCCGAACTATTAATACCTTATAAAAGATAAACCTCAAGGCATTTTCTTTTACTATTCCATTAATAAAATAATTCGAAGTGGTCTGTATTCTGTCGAAACTGCCAGACGCGGATCTCGATTTCGATCTTTTTGGATCTCATCAGCTCGTCGCAGGCAGCTCCGACAGAACACAGACCAACTTTTACCTGCTGTCTTAACAGCGCGTTTTAGAAAATACCACAAATGGCGCGGTAAACGCCATCTGTAGTACGATGCTACATTTTAGGATTACGTATGCTCCAACAAGGTCCACTTGTGTGGATATCTACTTGCTGAAACGAATCCCGGCGTAGCTAACCTCAACGTGATAAGGACGTTACCATAATCGAATAAAATAATTCGAAGTGGTCTGTATTTTGTACTACACCTTGCTGAAGCATACGTAATCCTAAAATGTAGCACTGTACTACAGATGGCGTTTACAGCGCCATTTGTCGTATTTTCTAAAACGCGCTGTTAAGGCAGCAGGTTAAAGTTGGTCTGTGTTCTGTCGGAGCTGTCTGCGACGCGCTGATGAGATCCAAAAAGATCGAAATCTCGATCCGCGTCTGGCAGTTTGGGCACAATACAGACCACTTCGAATTATTTTATTCGATTATGGTAACGTGGCTATCACGTTGAGGTTAGCTAAGCCGAGATTCGTTTCAGCAAGTAGATATCCATATATTTAAATGGACCTTGTTGGAGCATACGTAATCCTAAAATGTAGCATCGTACTACAGATGGCGTTTACCGCGCCATTTGTGGTATTTTGTATTCCATTAATCGCAACACTGTTACATTATTTTAGAAAAGCTTAGCCCCTTCGGTACTTACAAACAATGACATGACATCGCAATGGCATTACAAGGTGATAACGACGAAAGCATTATCGTAATTAGAATTATATAATACATTTGTATAAGTGTTTATTTTCCCCTTATATGTGCAATTGGTTGCATTTAAGTTGGACAAGAAAAATAATTAAAAACAAACAGTTATTACAGCGATCGTATGTACAGATGTTTAAACTTTTACTTTTTTCTTTATTTCTTTATTGTTTTGGACGAATCCAATAAGCTTTCTAGGTGCTGTCGTTTAAGTTTATGCACATAGGTACTTGAAAAATTCTGAATTATGAATCTGAAATATATACCTAATCATACAGGGTGTAACAGAAATAAGTGCCGAGGTTTGTAGGGTGTAAACTAGGTGCAATAAACAGTTGCATGGTGAGTAAGGGCAATTATTTTTTTTTCAGAAAATCAATAATTTATAATCCGAAGCCGGTCCTGTGCGTGAATTGGCAACATAGGTGTCTACCGAATAGCGTAGTGCGGTAAAAACTGTGCAGCTACATGTTTGGAGAACGTAAACATTGCCGATTATCGAGCGTCTAAGATAAACATAAAAATTATGCTATGCAGTACTGAAAACCAGTTTCAAGGCTTGGACTCGCTGCAAATGATAAGGATGCAGCAACTGTTCTTTTAAACCTTGTCACACTGTCGCATGAGAGAAGCCAATGTTCTCTGTTTCTTGCTTGCTCTATTTCAGGGATTATCTTTTTTGAAATCGGGAATTTCGCCCCTGCAGCGGTAATATGCTTCAAACCCGTAAATACGTGTCATGTCCCATTATTGTAATTGTCCACATTAATGATTGATGTGTTGTTGAATTAGTTTTTTGAGCTGTACAAGGTTTAAAGGTAAAAAAAATAAACGGCAACTAGAGGTTGGCTGTTAACATAAACACCTTGAACCACACTTAATCTAATGTAACAAATAAATAATGTATGAGAAAAAAAAATACAAAACATATACCACTACAGAGATGCTGGTAATTACCAGCTCATTGAGTGCAGCGTTGCGGGCCGTATTGCTTTACCAGGACCGAGATTGAATTTATATGTATTTTCAAGTACATTTTTGTTGAAAACCGTGAACTTTCGAATATACAAACATTTACCTTATTTTCATGTTTTGTAATAATTTATCCCCCCTTCTGTTACACCCTGCATAGGAACATAATCATCGAGCATATGACACCTTGGACTGCTTAGTGCGTTGAAAAATTTTGATATTTCGTCTTGAGTTGCTTGCGGCATCATCAGAAGCAGAAATCGCCATTTTTCATGAATAGAAAATGATGCACCAAGCATCTTCCAATGCTTGGCTATGGATGTGTTCTAAGGACCAAAATATTACATTAATAGATAATTACTCATCACCAGAAATGACTTTAATTTCTACTATTATCAACATATTCTGGAAGATCTTCGGTCATCTTACAAACCGCGGCGTTGTTTTGCGGAAATGGCGTACGATTACGAAAATATAACTATCTCATGAAACAATCTAAAGTAACTCCCTACTAAACTTAATTTGTATTTAATTTAAGGTAATAACAAGGATGGGAGTGTTTCAAAATCAGTAACTATCTACATTTAGGTATGCATATAAAAGGTTATTTTATCGTGAAGTTAAACTTGCCTTTTTCTTAAATCAGATTATCTGAAATTGTTTTTCTATATTATTTGATATCTTAGAAGTCAAGTAAGTGGTAGAGACATAAAACAACGAATAATGCACAGTCTAGTAGCTTTTAACAAAAATAAATCACTTTCGTGCTTACGAATGGTGTATGTTGGGAGCATGGCTTTGTGCGAGTACGAAACCTGGAAGATCAGTGCGGAGAAAAGAAAAAGTTAGAAGATTTTAAAATGTAGTGCTGTAGGAGGATGATGAGAATATCTTGTGGATATAAGATATAAAAGGTTAGCCTGGCACATGACGGGGCATTGGAAAGGGAACAAAGGGCGCTATAGAAGTCAATAAGGAAACAAAGAGACAGAATTTAATAAGACATCTTCTGAGACTTAAAAAGAGCTAGTTAGAGACATACAAGAAACAGAAACAGGTGTAAAGAGAGGCACAGGAGGGCCTAGATTAGATTACTGTTCGTAAATATGTCTACAGTTAGAGGTGCGGGTTGTTTTAGTTTTTAAAGTGAAACTTTTATTACATAGCCTCAAATTTTTTCGTCCATCTATCGCATGTCGCATTACAGCCGGCCGCGGAGTAGGGGTAAAACTGAAAGGCGCTCGGTAGAGCAGCCAAGTATTTATATTCTCACTCATTCGCGCAAGTGCATAACAGTTACATATATAAACTGTGAAACTCAAAGCGAAGATGAAATTATTGACAGAATAACTGAAGTTTAAAATGATTCAATGATTTAAATAATTATTGTTCTCAGTTTTTAACATGCGTCTATCATCTGAATGATTGTATTTATTATGTATTCTATTTATTATGTATTCCGTACTCTCATACGCAGATTGAAATTAAAATTTATAGTTGGATATCTTGCCTACTACTGATTTGCCATTATCATTCCCATTTTCCAATCATTAAGATAAGATTAATAACGCGATTTTAATTTTCATACCCTTAATCGAATAATTTTTCGGGAATTTACAGTTAAATGCCTACAATCCGAAAAGTTTCACTTGCATCGTGGTTTCATAAAACCATACAATTTTTCGGAAAATGCGAAGATTCAGGATAAGATTTATGGTAATGGTGATGAAGACATATGTATGCATGTATGAAATATATTATGCGTACTTTTAATAATAAAAAAAAAGATGAACTAGAGTGCTTTTTATTAAAATTTACTAGGTCAAGCGAGAAGAAAATTATTTCATCTCCTATTGTACAGCTTGTGCCTAAAGTAGTTCTTCAAGTAGGGAAATGATGAAAGGCTTCATCGAGGAAATAGATTGCAATATTATGAAAATCTCTCAAAGTTAATTCCCATTCTAATCGAAATACTAAATTGAAATAGAAGAAGCTGCATCCAGTGGACTGGGTATACGGTTTCGGAATTAAATACACGATAAGAGGAGTTATGTAGATAGCTTTGAAATTTTGAAAATAGAAGTAATTTTTTTTGTAAGCAATTTTCTTCTTTCGTTTTTGAAATCAATGAATTACAATTTTATTTTGGTAGGCGATTCTAATTAATTATATTCCAAAGGTGCGTTTATTGTTGAAGGTAATTTTCTAATGTCATTTATAAGCTAAAAGCAAAAATTATTAGATAATTTGTAAATTTTAATGTAGACATCATTAGAGTCGATGTTGCAGATGTTTCTGCAAAGTATTATTCATTTTTAAAGTTCTACTTCTTTTGGCGCGTTTAGAGTAAAATGTCAGCATGCAACGGATGCTGCGCGCGCAGAATGCTGTCGGTGGTCGCCGTTATTTCGGAAGAGTTCGTACTCCGACCAGCAGGAGGAACACTGCGCTGTGATATTTATTTAAATATTGTTTATAAATAAATACACCCCTTTGCTTACCTGTTGGGATAGAAGAATTGTTAAACTGAAGTCGTAATTTATTACAGGATTGTGTCCCAATAGGTGAGTTTTGTTGTTCCATTGTAATGGCTTGAACTTCAGCTAACAAGCAGCTCTTTGCCTTTATTATAGTGGGATTGTAACAAAATAGAATTTTTATTATCAAATCTACCATTTTCCCTTTTCGAGGGAATTTCAAGGGTGATTACAGTCGTATCTTGTGTATTCTGTCTCGCTAGTGTATTCCGACGGTATAAGCTCAAGCCATCTGTTGTTGTCTGAAACAGAGAAGATTTGAACATGACATGTAGGTAACAGTTGGCAAAACGGAAATTTAAGATTCACCAACAGATAAATATATGTACATAATTTATCCACCTACACTCGTCTCTTAAAGCGATAACCGCTATTCGACTTAATAGGCTGGAAGAAGGCTTATAATGGAAATGGTTAGGGGCAGAACAGGGAAAAGAAAATGAGGGATTAATAAATTGTAAAGAAATGCTGTGCTTTGCGTTAAGTAAGTACACCTAATCTTTAGTAGATCTCTTAAAACTAAAGAAGACTCAAAATGCGAAACATAAAAAAATCACAATTCAAATAATGGGGCATCTCACTCACATTAAAGGCAAAAACTTTATCAAGGGCTTTCACATTTAATATTTTAAATATATATTTTATTTAAACGTGTATCTCTTTCTTAACAATCAAATTGAAGCCAATAATTCTCCACTGTTGAATTTGTATTTCAAAATCTAATTCTTACCCACCACCCATCACCTACCACAAATATTTCTACCTTCACTTTAAGATTTTGATTTTTTATTATTGTACCTTTCTTCCAATAATTTTCTAGTTTTGTCCTTCATTCAAATGGTTCAAGTGGTCAATTAGTTTATTTACATTAAATATATACAAGTACAATTTCAAGTTCAGTACAAAAATTTATTTTTTGGTGTTTAGTCGACCTTGTTCGAAAGTCTCTTTTCTATTCAAAATGCATAAATCATACCAAACCCATCGACATACTGTCGAAAATATATTCTAATTTGCAAATGTTTTTGCACATTCTAGTTCCTACATTTATTTTTAAAGGAAAAATTAAACCAATAAGTCTTGTAGAACAAACAGAATAGCTCAAAACCCCAACGCCAAAACACGACACTGTAGTTGTCCGAAGCACTTTTCGGTAACAAAGTTACCTTCTTCAGGGACTGAAGTGCTTCGGACAATTACAGTGTCGTGTTTTGGCGTTGGGGTTTTGAGCTATTCTGTTTGTTCTACAACTACCGCCAAAGTTTTTCCAATCTTCATATTTCGTCATGAATAAGTCTTGGTTATTTACAATTGCACTCACGTAAGATTTCTCTTTCTATGAAGGTCTCCACAAAATGGAAAATGAATATTGACTATTCTTTTTCAATGGCGTCACAAGGAACCCTCTGAAATATGATTTCATTCTGCACAATCACTTGACTAGGTTGAATGCAACAAAATTTGATATCGTGTTTTTCCACAAATAGGAAATGAAAACCAAAACACCACAATCTATGTATTTCTCGTGGTGACACTATTAAAAAATTTATTTAAATTATTGTCATAATTTTGATAAAATTTGAATCTATATAGAAATATACATATTATTTATGTTATACAGTTATATGTATATGTTCCACTGATCTACATTGTAATGCAAAGCCGAAGGGTAGGGAAGAAATCACTCTTCAGCCTTTTTTAGGAATCTCGGGGTGAGTACTGATTGGGAAGATAAAGATAAGAGGGATGAAACGAAGAGAGAGAAGTGAAGCTTTATGTGTTGGAAGAGTCAAATAATTTTTTCACTTTGAAAAAATTATGATTCTGCTACTTACTTGGGTGTGTTTGCGGTATGTTGAATTAAAACTTGTTTCGCAGTTGGCTGTAGAGGGCGTACTTCTTAACAATCTTCTGTTATGGCGACAACATAAATACCTGTTGAAGTGTTGTCGAAACACACCACTCACGCAGTACAGGGCAACTGGATTTACACACGAATTAAGGAAACTGAAAATAATTAGACTTTAAAGCATGATAATCTTGACATTGCTGCATTAATTTCAAAATTTTAGCTTTGTTAAAATATTATATTATATTATATTATATTGTGTATGTGTGTGTGTGGTGTTGTGTGTGTAGTGTATGGTGTGTGTGTGAGATACATGTTGTAGTGTTTCCTCCTCTTTCTTACACATTCTGCAAAGTATTTCCTTTTCTGATAGCCAATACTTATTAGCTTTCGTTTCTGATCCGAACTTAAATCTTGCATACTTATGTTCAAAATAATACTACTTTTTGGAACTCAATTCCATCAGAAAGGTTTACAACTCGTTGGTTAGATTCCCTATTAAAATATGCCTTATCCTATTTATTTTACATAAAGAGTTTACAGTTAGATTTGGTAAAAATAACACTGTTTTCTGCCTGAATGTCCTGTACTTCTTATTCCTCCTGTCCTTTATGCTTTTGTTTGAAAGTTTCAAGTATTTTGTTATAAATAACTCTGTTTCTATTCAAAATGTCTTGCCAGAGGGTTAATACTTAATGTTTTTCAATTTTATTATTGTATAAATAAGTGCTATTATATTTGCTAGGGACCTTTTAATTCTATTGTGTACCAAAAAAGGTTATTTTTAAAGTAGATAGGTATATTGATGGCTACATTTCTCATGATAAACCCTTTCTAATGGAAGCGACTGGACCCAAAATCTATAGCCTTGTCTGAAATGAAGTTGTTGAAGTTATTGGAAACATAAAATTACTTTAGGGATGCATAAAAGGGCGCTCTAAACATACTCCAATAATCCCTTAAACATTTTACCTACTTTTCAGAGGGCAGAACAACATTTGATAACCACAAATCTGCGGTAGTATCAAAATTTAATTTTAAAGGGCTGGAAGGAATATTAAACTATCCCTAAAGTATAAAGTTGGTAGTTCTTAAAATAAAATATTAAATAAACTTGACAATTAGAGTTAGAGGTAGACACCTTCATGAAGTACAAATAATGTTACTTTTAGTGTTGTTTCAGTTTATTAAAAGAAAAAAAAAGTCCACAGCTTCTATGTGAAAAAAAATTCAAAAACCTCCTACATTTGGTTGTGGGCTTAAAGTTAGAGCCCCTGTAATTAATATCAAAAGAATGGCTATTTCTACATACTTTGCTTAGCACTATTTTTTGTTTTTCTGAAAATTTTTTGTTTCCAATCAGTTTAAGGACTGATGACCTTGATGATCGTTAACAATAAAAGAGATACAGTTCGTCTACACTGTTTCCCTACGAAAACTTTTGTAACAGCTAAACTGATTTTTATGTTCGTTATTTTTTTTCCAGTTCGTGTATAAAAATTTTCATTATTGTATGATTTATTGAATAATAATATAGAAGGTGGTACTTCGTTGATTTTAACACTAATATCGTATTATCTAGTTGGATGTTTACTCTGCTGCAATAATTCAATTTGGAAGTTAAATTAAATTTCGTCTTCGCCTTGAATAGACGAAGGGTCAACATTGGAGCATTTATTATCCATCATGTGACCTCTACTGTTCATCTTTACTGTACTGGATACGCTCCAGATTGCTTACAAGTGCAGTTAGCTTAAAAATAGTTTCAGTTTTTAAATCCCGACACTTGCTTTTCTGCTGGAGATATTTTGTAATTACTTATTTGATAACAAAACAAGTGGATAATCTAGACTCTAGATGAAACACAGTTAAACTTTTCTAACTATAAGTTGCAGTAGTCCCGGTTTCAGTTTGTACTGTTTTCTGCTTAAGTTTTGTCTTTTCTTTTCGTTGAATGTTGCTCGAATTTCTCAAGAACCTATCCAGAAACTGCATCTACGAGGGTGGATTGATAAGTTTCCGGCCTAACCAAGAGATGACGCCACTAGGCCTACCTTGAGGTGACATTCTATAGTACCATCCTTGGATAGCTTGTAGCTATAGTTTCAGCCCGATCTCCTTGCTAGTGTAGGTTTGACAGCACG